GAGGCCGCCCCGAGGGCGGGGCGAGCGCTCCCCCTGACGGGGAAACTGAGGCCGGGGCGGGGTCTACGGCGTCGCCCTGCTCCCTCCCCGGCTTCCGCGCCCCAACTCCCTTCTGCCTGTTCCTGGCACACGCGAAGGACTCGGTCAAGTGTTCACAGAATGAACGAGTCCAGGCAGACCTGGGACTTGGACCCCCACGCCCGTCTCCTGCCTGCCTGAAACCCCACGTGGAGGTGGGTGAGCAGAAGCAGAGCCCGAGTCTGCCCACTTGGAGTCCTGCGAAGAGCCTAGCACAGTGCCAGGCTCCGCCAAGCTTATTGGGTTGGCCCACGGTACCAAGCGGTTCGCAGGCAGGGTGCTTTTACAAAACTGGGTGTTTTAAGGAACCACTTCTGTTTTTTCTAAACACACACACACAGTCACTTATTCCCTATGAATCTGTGTGTATCCATCAAAATAGTTATGGAACTTAGTATTGGGATAGAATTTTTGTTTATAAGATACAACCTTTATCTTCGCGAATTTGACAAAGGCCCTTCTCCCACGGACCTCTGCCTGTCTGTCTGCAGGACTGTCAGCTGGGGGAGGAACCAACTTTGTTGGTTTTGTTCTGTTCTAGTTACTCAGAGGCACCCATTAAATTTTCTGTATGTATTAGGGTCCCATTTTTTTGTCTTGACACCCAACTGGAGTTGGGAACTGTGTTTTAATTCTTTGAGATTTTGTTGTTTAAGCCTGGGATGCATTTAAGCCTCCCACCCAGGGCAGAGCTGCTTCCAGCTTCTCACCAAGAAGCTGATGCTGCAGGACAGAGTCCCTCTGGTGAAAGGAGGTCCTCTAGGTCCTCCCTGGAAGGGAGACACCTGTTCTGAACAAGTAGAGGATCTCAGGGGCCTCCAGACAGGCGACCTGTGGGAGGTTGACCAGAGGTGGCCTTTTTTAAGAGAAAAAAAGGATTCAGAGTTTTGAGTCTCTGATTTAAAAATTCATTGATTTTTCAGTCACTCCATGAAGGATTTGGGACCTATGAAAGCCATTCTCTGATCCCACTTCTCTCCCACCCACCTCTTCCTCTGCGCCCCAAGGCAGTGTAAGTGAACAGGCAACCTGACCTCACTCTCTTCGTGTACCACATCCTGTTTTCAGATTAATGAGCTCATTTGATGGAAATTTACCAAGGGAAATAGTTTAATTTTGGAAAGTACCAAAAACTTATCTGTAGTCACTTGGCTTATTTGGGGGGCTCTTAAAATAGAGGGGGCATCACCGGGGGACCTCTGAGCTTGCAGGCAGCTGTGTGGTGAGGCTGCAGAAATCGAAAGCTAGGCCTCACGGGGCTGAACCTGACTCAGAAAGGAAATGAAACCCTTTGGAGACCACTAATCTCTACCCAGGAGAAAATTTTTTTTCCAAAAATAAGTTTTAAAAGAAAAGTAGTCCATCTGGCTAAGGCCTAACATCTGGTAGTCTGAGCATGGAGCCAAGATTAAGAAACAAGAAAGCAAACCCAGGGAAGTAGAGCGTGCTAGAGCCTCAGCAGTCCCTTTCACATCCATATCTGCTCTGTCTTCAAAGAGACACCAAAAGGCTTCCATTCTCCAGTTTTGCCCCAGTCCTTTAGCTGCTAAGCTCTTGACACCGAAGTTGCCTGTCTAGCCTTGTAGCCTTTTGAGCTTCTGGCTCCCAAAAGGAGCTAAGGACTGAATCGCCAGGGGAACTTAGATATTAAAGTTTTGTGGGCCATTCTTCATTGAAGATGATAGAGCACATGTGACTAACTTTCTAAGTGCCTGACCACCTCCTGGCTTGCCGTATTTCCTAAAGTAGAGATTTTAAACCTCTTTTCAGATACAGAATAGAAAAATGGTAAAAACTGCAAAGCCCTGACAATTTAGTACTGGGATGAAAGGAATTGCATCTTCCTTCACTCTTCCCACATCTAAATCTGTAGTGATATACCGAAGGCTATATTTTTATGTTGAAATGAGCACCAGACTAGGAGTCAGAAGATGTATGTTCTGTTTTTCCCCCTTGCCACTAATCCAGTTGTTTGGGGTTGGGAGTGGGGGGAAGATAAATAAATGAATGCTTAAGTAATAATTTGAAAAATTATAGTTCATAGATTTTTTTTTAAGCAGGAAGTGATCAAAAAGATCATAGAATGTGTTAGGTTTTTCAAACTTTGTATTAGCTGTAGGACCATGTCTTTGAATGTGTTCTCACTTAGGGCCCAAATATATAAACCAGCTGGAAGCCGAGATACTTTGGGAAGCAGAGCAAGTGGCTGGGAGTGTGTGCACTGGGCTTCTCTCCTCCCCATCCTGACCTCTGGGCTCCAGGGACACAGTTTGAAAATCATGAACCTTAAAAAAAAATTAAAAAAGAAAATCATAAACCTAATGAGATGTGAAAATTGGGATTCTCACGTGGGCTGACCTGCCTCTGCTGTCCCAGCCATTCAAGCTTTTCTCTGACAACTACCTTTCCATGTGTTATAGTTCAGGACGCTGGTAGCCAAGGGCATTAGAGGAGGAAGAGATTACACTGGCCTGGGGGAGGCAGAACCAGATTAGAGCATAAGCATCTGGAGGATTGTGGTCCATGGTTGTGCTAAAAATACCAACAGTGACAATAACAGTGACTACCCTTCATTTAATATCAGAGACTGCTCTGAATGTATCACATGAATTACTCCATTCACTAAAATCACCAAGAAGAGGTTAGAAAACTATTTTCTTCTGTCCAGATGAGAAAAGTAAGGCTTAAAGAGTTCAGTAACTTGATCGTGGTTAAGCAGCCAAAATTTGGCAGCACTGGGGGTGGGAAGGACTTTGCATGGTTTTTCCACTTGTTCAGACCACCTGGGATCTCACCTGGTTCCCCACTGGCAAACTGTGAGTTGTTTTCCTGCCCTCGGCTTCAGTTTCCCCATTTGTCAGGTGACAAGAATGGAACAGACATTCCCTTGGATCTTTTGAACACTGTCACTCTGTGTTGACAAAACCCAGGCCTGTGGTACAGGTAGGTGAAGGGGGCCACCCAACCTAT